GTGTGTGTGTGTGTGTGTGTGTGTGTGTGTGTGTGTGTGTGTGTGTGTGTGCGTGCGCGTATGTGTGTATGCGTATATGTATGTGTTTGTTTGTGTATCAGGTGTGTGTGTATGTCTGTGTGTGTTTGTGTGTGTGTGTTTGTGTGTGTGTGTTTGTGTGTGTGTGCGTGTGTGTGTGTGAGTGTGTGTGTGTGTGTGTGTGTGTGTGTGCGTGTGTTTGTCTGTCTGTGTATAGATCTATCAGTGTAGTATAATTACTTTTAAAAGGATGAAAAAGGAGCGTAAACCCCGAACTCGTCAAATTGCCGTATCATATTTTCCCACCATTAACAACTTTACACTACCAACACCACCATCACTGCCATCGCAAAGATCACATCTAACAATACCATCACATTCCCAGTACTACTCCTACCAGAATTACGTCCACCAACACCACCACCAACAACAACCACAACAAGATCAACAAAAACGGCAACAACAACAACTCATCAGCATCAACCAGAGCAACAACGACAATTACAACAACAGCAACCACAATAACAACAACAATAACAACAAAACAACAACAACAACAACAGCCACAACAACATCCACAACGACAACAACAACAATAATAGCAACCACAATAACATTATCACCACCAACAACAACCACAACAACAACATTATCCTCAGCAACAACAACCACCACCACCCCCACCATCACTCTTACGACAGATGCCAACAACGAGCAGTTACCTTCACAAGCAGTCTTCTGCAGGGACGCCTGGATGTTATCCAAAGCGTTGAAGTTGCTCACTGTGAACACGTTTTTGGGATCGGAGGCAATGAGCTCCAACTCTTTCCTGTCCACACCGTTACCCACGCCGATGGCGAAAATGTTGATGTTCTCCTTATGGATCTCATCAGCTTCGATCTGAAGAACAAAGAAATAAAACAGCAGCAAGATATAGTGTTCGTTCTTTGAACTGTTTCGTTGTTTATCTTGTTAGTTGCGGCAGTGGCAGTCGTTGCTTTCGCTGCTGCTTTTGTTGCTGTGTGTGTGGAAGCCTATCTGTTCAAAATGTCTGGAGCCCCGAAGAGAGCGTGCTCTTCGCCAGGTCCTCCGCCTCTCTTGGGTAGCGGGTGAGGAGCGGTTGCTGTTGTGTTTTTTTTTTATCTAACTGCTTGACACGATGGAGGGTACTTTCAACAGCTGAGCACTTGACCAATCTACCCCCCCCCCCTCCCTTTCACCTTCCCTCGACTAATCATGACTCTTGAATGATGAGAAAAAAGTAGTCCACGACTTCCAAGAGAAATTATTCGGGCCCACTTGGATTCAGTCTTCCAAATTCCGCAAAGCTGATCAAATTAGATAGATAGATAGATAGATAGATAGATAGATAGATAGATAGATAGATAGATAGATCCAGGATGCGAATGGAGAAGAGGAAATATATTTTTACTTTAGAACAAATTAGGGTAAACCTGATTATGATAATGTTGATGATGACGATGCCGACGATGTCGACGACAACAACGACAATCTCTGCTTAATTAATACAAAACATGAATACTCTCAGATATCTCAAGAATCACGGCACCAAACTAGATTAGACCCAGTAGGCTGTTCTCACCTTGGTCTTGGCGGGCTCTGTGGACTGTCCGTCGGTAATGACAATAAGAATGTTGGCAACTCGGTCCCTGTCTCCGTGAGCCTTCGTGAAGGCGTTGTTGCGGATAAACTTCAGACCCAGCTCAGTGTGTGTGTTGCTGGGATGATATACAAAAGGTGAAATGATATAGGTTTAACGCCCCATTCAACTACATGTATATTGGGTTATTTGAGAGGCGGGGCCTCAACGGTCTTCTCCGTAAGGACTGAGACAATTCGTTACCTCAGAAGTACAAAGTTCTATCTGCCCAGTACCTAGTTTTGAGAAATTTGACCTTACAAATTTCAAGTTTCACAACATGTCCAGCCTTTCCTAATGTAATTCTTTAAATATCTTGATTACGACTCCGAAAAAACTTTCAATTTTTCTAGAGCCGACAGAATATTTGCTTTCTGACCCCATAGTCTTAGTAACTTAAATCGCCAAAAATGTCTGATAGAACTTTGTAATTCTGAGGTAGCGAAATAGGAAATTCGTGTTAGGTGCCTTACCCAAGACCACAACGTCGGATTGAGAAGGGGCTCGAACCCCGAACCCGCAGTCTCACGATTATGGGTCCTGTGGCTTAATACTAGGGGGTGGGGGGGGGGGGGGGGAGATATATATATATATAAGACCATTTTGCTAGTTTCTCCCGCTTTGTTCTTGAATATCTATTACACAGATATGATATTTACAGCACTGTGTCACATCCAATTGGAGGTTTGCTGTATCTCTATGTAAGTCCTTCGGACGGCATGTAAATCTACAGTTACTGTTGTGTCTTTGGGAAAGGCACTCTACAAGAATTTCCTTTTTGGCTCGGTCCTTTTGGAGATGGACGTTAAACTTGGAGATTTCGCCTTTATTTTCAGAGAGAGAGAGAGAGAGAGAAAGAGAGAGAGAGAGAGAGAGAGAGAGAGAGAGAGAGAGAGACAGAGAGAGACAGAGAGAATCAGAGAGAGACAGAGAGAATCAGACAGACAGACAGACAGACAGACTGACAGACAGACTGACAGACAGACAGACAGACAGACAGACAGACCTTAACGCAGTTGAAAGGAAGAGATTATGATACGGTGTATAAGTTTTGAACAGTTAGATGTACTCACTACCAGTACCAAAAGTCACATCCGAGGTCAATGTATAAAAACTCGACCTGTACTAAAGTGACGGCCCCTCCCCTTTTTTTTCATTTGCATTACAACCACTCCCTGTCTTTGATTGTTTCGTATGGTAACAGAGCAGACCACGAAGTAAACAGTTTGAAGTTCGAATTGTTCCAAACACCAGTGGCAAGTTGACTTACAGAGAAGAAAACAATTGCCTATGTAGCTGTGGTAGTGGCACACTGTGTCAACACGATCACTCTCGTGTTTTTCTAGTGTATGTGTTTTACGCCCCCATGGACGCAATTTAGATCATTTAGGAGGCGGGCTTTGACTTTGCCTGCCAGTGCCAACCTGGGCTGAGAAGGATGCAACGTCCAAGCGAAAAATAAACAAACAAAAAACCCAAAACAACTTAGATACTCAACAGAAAGTCTTCCCACACAGGAATTGAACTCAGGTCTCTTGTGTGCGATAGCGAAGCACTAAGCTTCTAAATTAAAGATGCTGTTGATCACTCTCAGGTTTCCTATTCCGATACGGTCAGAAAATGTTGGTACATTTGGCTTTTTCCTTTTTTTATGGCCTTTTCTCATGAATTCAATTAATCTTCGAATGACTTAGTTTGTGACTAATAAAGCACCGAATCAAGAAAATGGCGGTGGCATAAAAATGTTGTGAACCATTCTTTCATCGTTGAAGTGCACTTTTGGGGAATTAGTCGATCATTTCGTGCACAATTCAACTATTTTAAAAGAATCAAAGCTCATTAAGACTGTTTTTTTAATCGTTTAAAATTTGCGCTGTCCTTCTCCTATAGGTTTTTATCTTAGCAAGTGGTGCCCCCAGATAAGGTATTCCACAGCTTTGATTGGCTAGGATTTGTAGACGAGGAAAGCAACTGTTTGATTTTACTGTAATGAGACACAACTTTCAACAAATGCTCATAGAATAACGTGTAAAAAGTATTAAGAACCGCCACCTGCGTCGCAATGTCTGAAGTTCTATGCCATGCACGAAAAGGACCTAGAATTTGATTCAAAATTTGAATAGATAAACATGGGATTAACTGCGTCTTTTTACTTGTAACCTATACTCTCCATATTCACCGTTACAGGTCAAAGCAAGCCGCCTTTTTATTAACCAAAATTGTGTAGAAAGGGGTATACAATATCTCTAATTATTACTAACACATCTTGAGTCTAATTTGTAAAAGTTTAGTCTCCATACACGCCATCCAGCGGCCTGCATTGTGCCGGAATTCAAGTATTCAACCTTAAATGTATTAATTTCCACTTACCCTCCTGGGTACGGGATTTTGTTGATCGCCGCAAGGAGACCAGTCTTGTCCGGGTGACTGTTCATCCAGAACTGATTGGCTGGAGTAGTACTGAAGATGGTCGCTCCGATCTGCACTCCATTTGGACCGATGTTGAAGGAGCGGGTAAATTTTTTCACGAAATCCAGCTGCTTTTGAAAGTTGGCAGGTTGTACACTACCGGACGCGTCCAGGAGAAAGTGGATATCTGCGGGGTTCGTCCCGCAAGCTTGGGGGAAGAGGATGAAGAAAGAAAAAGTGAGTGACTGTGATGTAGTGATATATTGGCGTATAGGACATACGTTTTTGGGATTTTAAAGTACATGTATTGAAACTTCTTCTTCTATCCCAGAGAAGTAAAAATACCTCTGTCCCTTACAGGAGGGGCGCAACTCATGTGATGATGAAGTGCCCCTTACACACAGCAGTGTCTATTGTCCCCAAATTACCATGTCTTTTGTCCAGCTCTATTTTTGTGCCAACTAGTTGTTTTGGAGGAACTGATTTTAAACTTGACCAACTCATGAAAGTTTTCATCTTTGAATACGAGTGACCAAATCCCTCTTTCAGTTTCTTCTAGCTTGTATTGACACCATGTTGCTCGTGCAGCATTAAATCCGGAAGAGAGCGAAGCGCACACCTTTTAACCTAATTATCTCACTTCTCTATTCCTCTGTGCTGTGTGTTACGTAGTCTACATGCAATACAATTGTGACTTTCAGACAAATATGCCAACGTTTATTTGTACCTTTGAATCGCATTAATTTTATATGCAGTTGGCTTTTTAAGGATATGGGTAAATCTTGAAATAGTTCAGGCTTGATTTAAGTCATATTTTGATGGTGAAACTAGATCGTCTGCCAATGGCGATCACGGTTGTATTTAATTTTTAAAATACCCTTGTTTTTGTTGTGAGATGTGTACTTAAAGTTGGACTTTTTGTTTTATCTAAGAAATAAGTTATTCATCTCAACTATAATATATAAATATTATGTACTGTACTTTAAAAGACAAATATCTAAATATGCATTGTTCAACGGTCTGTCCGCCATTAAAGCTTGTGAACAATTTATTTTGTGATTGGCAACAATTTAACAGACGTAACATTGTTTCGGGCAGTCACAAGAAATACTAACAGATACTAACATCTATTGGTATTTCTCATATCATTCTGTATGTTTACTGCCTTTCCATGAGCCACATTGGTTATTTTTTAAGTTAAAAAAAGCAGAGATACGTATAAGCACATTGCCCGAGTAGTGAGTGATCAAAATTGTAGTTCATGAATAAAAACCCTCTTAACTACGTGGATTTACGTAAATAGATCTATAGGAAATGATGCTATATCGGTACCTCAAGCGTAAAGTATGCAATTATTGAAACCTTACACGAAAGACGCTAATATTTTTTAATGAAGTGGAGGCTACAGAATTCAAGCATTTAAATGAATCCAGTTTCATGCTGTTTTCTTTTTTTCAAGTTTCAAGAAAAAGGCAAACCTAAAAGAAGCCAAGTAAGCATACCAAAATCAGTGTCTGTGTTTCCATTTGTATGAGCTTCATGTAAAGAACGCAAAAGAAAAACAGAATAAAATAAGGCATGTCATATTCCTTACTTGTGGCAGGTGTGGTCGGGGCGCCCTGGGCCGTCCATGGGCCCACTAGCGCCGCCACCAGCAGCAGAATACCCTTCTCCATCTCCGAAATGCCGTCTATTCCCTGTCCGGAACCTACCTTGAGATTTATACCATCTTCTTATCTAAGCCTTTGCGCATCCAGATAGGGTAAACAAACACAGGTTTCACAAGCTTTTGTAATTAATGGTCAAGCGTTTGCTATACGGTTGCTAGGGACTCTTTCGTACTGTGTACTTTTATGGTTTACCAAGTGCGTTGCGTACAAGAAATATTTAGAAATCATTAATACGCGGTTTGTGCAAGTGCAAGTGCTGCAGGGGCATTAAGTAAAGACGATTTAGATATCGGCTCTCTGGAGTCAGCAGGTTCAGAGAAGACGATGTGGTCAACGGTGTCCTGTCTGTCGACCAGTGTTTCCCCAAAGCAGAAGGGAGTATGTTTTTTGTTTGGTGTTTCTTTTGTTTTTGTTGTTGTTGGGTTTTTTTTTGGTTTTTTTTCTTTTGTTGTTGTTTTTTTCATGGTTAGGGGTGGGGGGGGGGGGGAGTGGGGGGGAGTGTGGTGGGGGGGGGGGGGGGGGGCCCCCAGGGGGGGGCCTGTACTGACTTGTTTGAACAAAAAAAAAGAAAAAGAAAAACTGTTTCAATTTTTAGCAAAACGGAAAGCCCACTAAGGTCAAAGGACTTTTCCTTCAAATCTTTACACTTATGAGAGAGAAACCCATATACATTTATAATCAGAGAACTACTCTAGCGTGTGCGGGGAACATTTTTGCGTTGTTATCTTACTTGGACTACGCGACTGAAACGACGCCAGTATTGTTGGTCTAGGCGTCCATGGATGGATCGGAGGATTACGAAACAGTTAAATGTTCTGGAAACTTTTCCCTGGATGGGTGGATAAGGAATAGTTTTCCAGCATTTTCCATTCAAAATCAAAGTAGCCCTACCATGTGTAATGAAATTATTTGTAACCTAAGAGAGCCCATTCAGCTTCCTTTTTTATCTTGTGGTAAGTGTTTTACGACGCTCGCAACTGCATAATACGGTCATATGAGCGCGCGGGACACATTAAACTTTTTCAGAAGGTACGAAATTTTGAATTTGTCCGGGTGGCGGCCGAAGCCTACTCTTATCGATTTTAGACCACCAAGGGATCACTAACGTGCGTAACTTGCACACGGGCCCTACAAAATTTTTCGCCCTTGTCCGAGAAGGCTTTGTATAGATCTTTCCTACCAGAAGATCAGGGGTGTGGCTGAAAGACTATAGTAAGAGGGAGCCAAGAAGTAGCAGCAGGAAGGCTGCAGAAAGAGTCAAGCGCGCAGTGGAGGGGGGCAAAAGAGGTGCGGGGGTGGGGGCAGAAAGAGGAGACGAAAGCAGACGACAGAACATTGTGAAAAAGCAGGAACGGAGGCGAAAGGAGATAATTTTAGAGAAGAAAATGTTTCGGTCATTTCCCGGATTCGAACCCCGGACCTTTGAATGAGAGGTCAACACCTTAACCTCTAGGCCACGAGAGCCCCCCCCCCCCATCTTCCCTTTTTTTTAAAACAACAACAAAAACAAAACAAAAAACAACAACAATAACAAAAACAAAACAACAACAACAACAACAACAACAACAACAACAACAACAACAACAACAACAACAACAACAACAACAACAACAACAACATTGTGATCATCATTATCAATTTTCATTATCATGATAATGATCATCATCATCCTCATCATCATTATCGACGACAACAACGACAACATGGTAACACTATAACAACTGCATCAACAGCAAAATCAACAACAGCAACAAAATCAACAACAAAAACAGCAACAACAACAACAACAACAGCAACAACAACAACAACAACAACAACAATAATAACAAGAAAAGCAACAACAATAAAAATATCAACAATAACAAGAACAATAAAAGCAATAATAATAATAATAATAATAATAATAATAATAATAATAATAATAAGAAGAAGAAGAAGAAGAAGAAGAAGAAGAAGAAGAAGAAGAATCTTAATTACAACACCACCACCACCACCAACAACAACAACAACACATATAATCGACCACACATCGGACTCAATCTGTCCACTGTGCGGTGGGAACCCTAAGATTTGGAGCACTTGCTGCAGAGATGCCTCGCTACGGAGGTCCGTCGGTGGAAACTCTTTCACTCTTTGGGAAAGATCCAAGGAAGTTGGACTGCCTCACCCGCTACCCAAGAGAGGCGGTGCCCGGATCGAAGAACACGCTATTCGGGGCTCCAAAACATTTCGGAAGGATAGGCCACCACACACACACTCACACACACACACACACACACACACACA